ATATTTGGCATAATACCGAGCGGTTCGGCTTAGGTATGAAGAGGATATGGGATACAAGTACGTACCATCCTCCTATCCGTCTTGGGGGCTTATATTAGAGAAAACGGAGTATAGCACAGGGCTAACTGTGATACATACTTGTAATGCACCATAAACAAACAAAAAAGTTATTTTCTCTCAATAGATTACCACACACAGCAGCATATGTGCAGAGAGCCTAGGATAACCCAAAAAAAATCAGACATTGGCAGTGACTTATTTCCAGTACCTGACTTGGGCTTGCCATACATGATTTTTGGTAAATAGTTTTTTTTCCCAGTTGTTTGTTGGGCTACCTTACTAAAACTTGGGCAATGTATGATGGAAAGATGCTTCTTAAAGTACACCAAAAATGAAAGAAATTGGACGATAAATAACAGTTTCCTTCTCAGCCATTAGCCACCCCTTAGCGGTATATTTTCGTATGTTTATGGTTGTACTCATTTTTTTATCTCATTTGATAGAATGGAAGTTATATTATAGAAATAGATACGATTTTGATTGGGTTCACAACAAAAAGTATCGTGAAATTGAGCTCAAAGTAGCGCAAATGTTCGATTTTTGCCAATGTTCAATGAACTGTATTGTGAATGTCAAGTTGGTTAACTTAAGTGTACTCTAACCTAACCACTCAGTAATTCGGCAAACTCAATAATCCAGCACACTACAGGTCCCAATGATGCCAGATTTGTGATGGCGGACTTGTACATACTATCTAAGAAGCTTGAGACTTGGGTGCTTACTCTAAATGCCAGCAATCATTACATGGAAACCCATATAGCAGAATTAGCATTTTTAGACTTGGTTATACGTATTTGGTTGTATTTAACAAGTCACTGAACCTGCTGCCTTGATAACTCTTATGTTGGCAGTATGAAAAGGCAATGACTTTGCCTAACAATTTTATTAAATTTATGCATGGGAAAACAGAAGGGCCCTCTCTTGACAGGTGACTTGGTAATATTGCCAAGTTCACTGGCATTCAAAGAGGTGGTACCTGGGTGAATGTCAGCTTTTCTTGATCACAGATGGTACTAAGGGTGAACTGAAAGGAAAGCGGTAGAAATAAGCCACATCACTCTACTTTCTTGGATTACTCTGTGTTAAAAAACTAGTAACAAAAATCTTAAACCTATTTACTTTAATCAGGGAGAAGCACTAAACCCATAGGGGTTATGTAGTGCCTTTGGGAATGGAAGGCAATCCGGTTCAATTAAGGAATGGGAGAAATCCTGTTCCATGGATCAAGAGCTTCTCACCAAGGTACTACCCTTGAAGGGTTCAATCTACACAGTATGGGCCAGTAAGCCTACAGCAGTGATTGAGTTTCCAAGAATGAGAAAAATTAGCAACAGCTCACTGCCCATTTGAATGTAAGTAATCATGACGACATTCCCAAGTCAATGCTAGATCTGACATATCTATTTTCCTACTGCTGAAAAACTCTATTGTGAAACTATTGGCAAGCAATAACCTAAGATAATCTAAAGTTATCAGACCTACCACCTGATGTCCTGTGGCCTGGTAGGCAACACACTCGCCTTACACACCGAGTGTCCATGGTTCGATCACTGGCAAGAGTGGAAACATTGGACATGTTTCCTTACACCTGCTGTCCCATTCACCTAGCAAGCAAGTAGGTACCTGGGTGTTAGTCGACTGGTATGGGTGGCATCCTGGGGGACAAGATTTAAGGACTACAATGGAAATAAGAGTCTTCAATGGCACACTGACTTTCTTGGGTTATCCTGAGTGGCTAACCCTAAGGGTTAAAAATCCAAAGAAAATCTTATAACTCTGCTGGTGACTGCCTGACCACTCATTTCACCAGGCTGGGAATAACAAGACAAATTTATGTCTCAGACAGGAGTGGTGACAGGCAGAGATGGGGGAGAGCAAGGATAAGTGGAATGGACAAGTTGGCGACAGGATGGGGTGATTAATTAATGATGGAGTGAGGGGGAGGTGGCAATTGGCTGGTACAGGTGGATTTTTAGATTAACCCAGAGGATTAGCAGGATAACCCAAGAAAACTTCATCTTGGTAGCATTGGTGCTCTTTGATCATCTTTCCTAGGATGCAACCCACTACTGCAACACCCTGGTACCCACTTACTACAGATGAGCAACTGGTTTAATAAAGCACACAAAACATCAAGTGATTGTAGCTCAATTGGCAATAGCCTCAGCTCAGTTAGGGACGGGGGGGGGGGGGGGGGGAAGGGTTGGTCCTCAGACGAGCATAAACGTTAAGCATATTTCCATAGGGGCTCTGGTGGCCTGGTGGTTAACGCTCTCGCTTCACACGGTGAGGGCCTGGGTTCGATTCCCAGCCAGAGTAGAAACATTGGACGTGTTTCTTTCCACCTGTTGTCTATGTTCCCCATCAGTAAAATGGGTACCTGGGTGTTAGTCGACTGGTGTGGGTCGCATCCTGGGACACTGACCTAAGGAGGCCTGGTCACAGACCGGGCCGCGGGGGCGTTGACCCCCGGAACTCTCTCCAGATAAACTCCAGATAAACACCTACTGCCTGTTCACCTAGCAGTAAGTAGGTACCTGGGTGTTAACCAACTGTTGTGAGTCATATCCTAGAGAAGAAAATTAAAGAATCCCAGTGAAAATAAGCCAGTCAAATAGCAGTGACTATACTTGGTTACCCTGAGTTACTAATGAGTGGAACAAACTTCCAAGTAGAATCAGTGAGATGAGAACTTAGTAGCATAAAATACAGACTGGATGGTTAAACGAGTGGGTGTGAGTAGATGTTAGTTGGGCTTGCCTACCATGGTCCAATAGGCCTACAGCAGAATTATTTCATTCTTGAAGAATGAGACGCTTGTGCAACATTTGGGAATCTCTGAGGAAACATTTCACCAGTCAGCAGCTTCTTCAGTTCAATACCCTAAAGAATGGTCAAAGATGAGGAGTTTAAAGTAATCAGTCCCTCAGCCTGGAGTCTTGAGTGTTCAGTCCATAGACTCCAGACTGAGGGACTAATTACCTGAAGGTCTAATCATCTGCCATTGTTCTTCTCTGTACTGGACTGAAGACACTGGCTGGCAAAATGTTTCCTCAGTAAAGATTCCCAAACATTGCACAAGCATCTCATTCTTCAACTTATGAGTTTTTTTAAATCATTTACATCACATCTTTCATTCTTATGCTCTTAAGTACTAAAATTCCTGACAAAATTTTCCCTCCTTTAGTGCAAAAAGGACAAAACTCAACATTTTCACGATTCCTTTAATGACAATTCTAAAATTATTACAATCATCTTCCACTTTGTTGCCAGGATGCCACCACCTGAAGCACACATCTGGACAGCAGATGCAAGTTTTGTGTGTAGAAATGAATAATGTGGTGGATGAGTGGCAGTAAATGGGTGGGTGGATGAAGTGGAAATGGATAGGTGGGGGTCAACTAACTGGTGGGTGGCAACAAATGGATGAGCTGGTGGGTGGCAACAAATGGGTGTGTTGATGGCAACAAATGAGTGGGTTGATGGCAACAAATGAGTAAGCTAATGACAAATGAGAGAGCTGATGGCAACAAATGAGTGGGCTGATGGCAACAAATGAGTGGGTTGATGGCAACAAATGAGTGGGCTGATGGCAACAAATGAGCTGATGGCAACAAATGAGTGGGTTGATGGCAACAAATGAGTGGATTGATGGCAAATGAGTGGGCTGATGGCAACAAATGAGTGAGCTGATGGCAACAAATGAGTGAGCTGATGGCAACAAATGAGTGAGCTGATGGCAACAAATGAGTGAGCTGATGGCAACAAATGAGTGGGCTGATGGCAACAAATGAGTGGGCTGATGGCAACAAATGAGTGAGTTGATGGCAACAAATGAGTGGGTTGATGGCAACAAATGAGTTGATGGCAACAAATGAGTGGGTTGATGGCAACAAATGAGTGGGCTGATGGCAACAAATGAGTGGGCTGATGGCAACAAATGAGTGGGCTGATGGCAACAAATGAGTGAGTTGATGGCAACAAATGAGTGGGTTGATGGCAACAAATGAGTGGGTTGATGGCAACAAATGAGTGGGTTGATGGCAACAAATGAGTGGGTTGATGGCAACAAATGAGTGGGCTGATGGCAACAAATGAGTTGATGGCAACAAATGAGTTGATGGCAACAAATGAGTGGGTTGATGGCAACAAATGAGTGGGCTGATGGCAACAAATGAGTTGATGGCAACAAATGAGTTGATGGCAACAAATGAGTGGGTTGATGGCAACAAATGAGTGGGCTGATGGCAACAATGAGTTGATGGAAAACAAATGAGTTGATGGCAACAAATGAGTTGATGGCAAACATATGGTTGGGTATGGCAACAAATGAGTAAGCTGATGGCAACAAATGAGTGAGTTGATGGCAACAAATGAGTTGATTGGCAACAAATGAGTTGATTGGCAACAAATGAGTTGATTGGCAACAAATGAGTGGGTTGATGGCAACAAATGAGCTGATGGCAACAAATGAGTGAGCTGATGGCAACAAATGAGTGAGCTGATGGCAACAAATGAGTAAGCTGATGGCAACAAATGGATGTATTGTTGGGTGGCAACAAATGGATGGCATGTAGATGGGTAGGTGGCAACAAATATGTGGGCAGATGGATGGCAACAAATGGGTGAATATGTGGGTGTAAATAATCAAATGTGGCAGTCATCATAGGGTCATCCTGATGCCCCTCAACCATTACCATGTAAACATCCCTTATTACCCCACACATCACCCCCATACCTCCCCATTTCACCCCCGCCCACACCCGCGCCCACACCCGCGCCCTGCACGCCCACGCCCCAACCCCAAAAAGAAAAATCAATAGTTAACACTTCACCATGAGACGATCATCCCGTTACTCCAGAGTCGTGCACTTTACCTTCCAACTTTCACCTACTTCTCGCCCTTATATCACATTCACTTGCAACCAAATATATTCTACCTGTTGCACTGATTGTTGCACTACAGTGTCCGGGGATTGTGATTCGCGAAGTAAGCCTAAAATCTGTGCTAAAGCGTCAGCATCTGGATTCCACCCCATGTTTTGCGCCGGTGAGGGAGTATATCCTCTTATGTTAGACGCCAAGCCAGCTTCCATCATCCTCAAGTGGAACAACGCCCTCTTAAATCATAACCCAGATTTCTACCTCTTTCCACTATTTCTTGTGGGTTTTCTCTCGGATTTCTCTGGGTTTTGTTAGCTGGGTTGTTTTTTGGAGTGGTTTGGGTGTTGTAATGGGTTAAATACGGAAGAGCTCGGTCTTTCTCAGATATTCGCTTGATTTTTAGAAGGGATTTGTGTCTGACTTCACCATTGGCTGCTTCGAACGCGCACATTCTGCTCTCCACCAGTCACAAAATTCCTACTAAGCTGGTATTGCAGCCTCATAAACAAACAGGTGTACTTTGTTTAACATTGAAATATTTAACATACCAACAACATATTCACAATTCCAGTATTTTAAAAAAGAATTTACACGATAATTAACAGGACTACTAAGATAAATACTAAAAAATCAGATAACGGGAAGAAAGACGAGGAAAAAACAGCAGCTGTGAAGAGTTAGTCATGACACAGTCCACGTGCTGTACCCCGGGGCCGTTATTTAAGCCTGTCTTATTTTATATAAACTAATAAAAGGCACGCTAATATAAATTTCCTCTTTAAAAAATAATAACATCAAAATTAACCTATATATTGTGGATATAATCAGTGCAAGTATGATATTAGATATGTCATATTGTGCTGTATATCTACCAGCACTACCACTATTATTGTCGCCACTACCACTATTATTGTCACCATTACCACTATTATTGTCACCACTACCACTTTTATTGTCACCATTACCATATTATTGTCGCCACTTCCATATTATTGTCGCCACTTACCACTTTATTGTCACCATTACACTATTATTGTACAAACTACCACTTTCTAGTCACCATTCCACTATTATTGTCGCCACTACCACTATTATTGTCGCCACTACCACTATTATTGTCACCACTACCACTATTATTGTCACCACTACCACTATTATTGTCACCACTAACCACTATGGTTGTCGCACATACCAATATTATGTCACCATTACCACTATTATTGTCACCACTTCCACTATTTTTGTCACACTACCACATTATTGTCAACCACTACACAATTATTGTCACCACTACCACTATTATGTCACCACAAACCACTATATTGTCACCACTACCACTATTATTGTCACCACTAACCACTATTATTGTCAACACTACCCACTATTATTGTCACCACTACACTAATTATTGTCACTACTACCACTATTATTGTCGCCAATACCACTATTAAATTGTCACACTTACCACTTTATTGTCACCACTACCACTATTATTGTCACCACTACCACTATTATTGTCACCACTACCACTATTATTGTCACCACTACCACTATTATTGTCGCCACTACCACTATTATTGTCACCATTACCACTATTATTGTCACCACTACCACTATTATTGTCACCACTACCACTATTATTGTCACCACTACACTATTATTGTCGACCACTACCACTATTATTGTCGCCACTACCACTATTATTGTCCCCACTACCACTATTATTGTCACCACTACCACTATTATTGTCACCACTACCACTATTTATTGTCACCACTACCACTATTTTTTGTCACCACTACCACTATTATTGTCACCACTACCACTATTATTGTCACCACTACCACTATTATTGTCACCACTACCACTATTATTGTCACCACTACCACTATTATTGTCACCACTACCACTATTTTGTCCCACTACCACTATTATTGTCACCATTACCACTATTATTGTCACCACTACCACTATTATTGTCACCACTACCACTATTATTGTCGCCACTACCACTATTATTGTCGCCACTACCACTATTATTGTCACCACTACCACTATTATTGTCACCACTACCACTATTATTGTCACCACTACCACTATTATTGTCACCACTACCACTATTATTGTCACCACTACCACTATTATTGTCACCACTACCACTATTATTGTCACCACTACCACTATTATTGTCACCACTATTACCATCATCAACACCCCTCACAATACCTCCACCAGTCCCATTATAATAACCACCACTACGACTGTTATTGTCACTACTACTACTATTATCAACACCTTCACATTATCTCTACCAGTCCCACTACAATAACCACTACAACTACCACCATTACAATCACCATCACCGCTACAACCACCACTACAACCATCACCACTACAACTACCACCACTACTACAGCCACCACCACTACCACTATAACCACCATCAATTCGACTACCACCACCATAATTAATACAGCTACCACTATTACTACCACCACAACTACCACCATTCTCCTCCGTCCCATGTTACTTCCCAGGATAAAATTGCTGTACGAGTTAGAACATAAGAATATATGCAAAATGCTTGTAGGTCTACTGCAATGTTTCTCATTTAGGCCTATTGCAATGTTTCTCATTTTTTACACAAATCAGTTTTACAGGCTAAGAGCTGTTTGTTATCTTACCTCAGCTTATTTAAAAGCCTAGCCCATAATAAAACGTTTTGCATATACAACAATGTAACTTTAAACATAAGAAAGGAGGATCACTGATGCAGGCCAACTGGCCCATAGTAGGCAGGTTCTTCTCAAACCCAAACCCACTAACAAAAATATTTGCCCAACCCATTTTCAATGGTACCCAAAGAATAAGCTTTGAAAACTCTATTAACTAGTGTGCAAGTGACTTATTTCCACTGACCCCAGTGGAAATAAGTCACACTGTCTGCTATGTATGATAATCTGTATAATTGTATTTATGTATACCACATGAATAAACTTCCTGAGCCTACTAGGCAGACTGTTCCACTCATTATCTACTCTATTTCCAAATCAATACTTTCCCATATCCTCTCTAAATCTAAACTTGGGTCACCCAAATCCAGCATCTCAGTCCTGCAGCCATGTTTATATAATTGAGGGTTGGTTGTTTACGTTTGTAAAGTGGTATACAAGTGGATGCTTTCCATATCCTGTTGAGCAGGACAAGTGGCAACCAGGGAAATAACTTCCATACTTCTCAATCTTGGTTCCACTTCTAAATTAAAGATGAAGAATTAGACACATGTGCCACATCTGGTTGTCTTTATTTCGTAGATATTTTGTCATCCAGTAGATTTATCAATATAAAGACATGATGTAAAGATTGTACAACTATATACGCAAGATGAAGTATGTAGATGAATGGTTCAGAGAACCGATAAGCTAATCAATTAGATACATGTGCAACACTTGGGTATCTTTATTGAGGAAACGTTTCGCCACACAGTGACTTCATCAGTCCTTCTACAAAAAAGAATGATGAAAATCAGAAGGAGTTTGAGGTAATCAGTCCCTCAGCCTAGGAGTAGTTGTGGAGGTACCAAGCATATTATCCAGGGGACTGAGGAGGGATTGTTAAGATGGTTTGGACATTTAAAGAAGACGAAGGAAAATAGGATAACTAGAAGGATCTATAAATCTGAGATGGAGGGATATGAGTCGTTCAAACCTCACCCGTTCCGCGATTTTCTTTTTTCTCTCTTATAATGTATTGAAATGTGTCAGCCTGAAGTGGGAGACTTCAGGAGGACAACGATGATATTGTCAAACATTCCATCAACGGTTCAACACCTACGGAAGCTTAGAGGTTTTATATCACCTGGGAATTGTCATCTGAATTCTTATTATAATCAAGGGGGAAGCGCTAAACCCGAAGGATTATACAGCGCCTGGGGGGGGATGTGGAAGGCATTCAGGCCTAATTCGGGGAACTGGAGCACAGATCCAATTCCCTAAATCAAGAGCCCCTCACCAACATCAAGGAATTTTCCTTGAGGGGATTGTCATCTGAAGCCTCATGGAGGCAGTGGAGGGTGACCATGATAGGAGGTGAGGTCAGTGAAGAGGGAAGGAGAGGTCATTTGGGGGTGAGGGGGTGATTCAAGATCCCTTATATCAACATGATACAATGTAGAGATGGGTGATATTTAGGTGTGCATGTATAAAGTCCCTTAGTACCTGGTTACCTGGAGGTTATTCCGGGGATCAACGCCCCCGAGGCCCGGTCCATGACCAGGCCTCCCGGTGGATCAGGGCCTGATCAACCAGGCTGTTACTGCTGGCCGCACGCAGTCCAACGTACGAGCCACAGCCCGGCTGATCCGGCACTGACTTTAGGTACCAAGCAGAGCATTTTGGACATGGGGAATATATGTGTGAACAAAGTGAGCCCATTATTAATACCAGGAACAACTAGCCAGTAATCGTCACAGCAAATGTCTTCAGATGCTCATTTTTCTTATTCAGCTGTTCCATCTCCATTCCAAATTTTTTTTACACCATATTTATGGCTTCCAATCCCTTCCTGTATCTCCACTGCCCCATCCCTGCTCATTGACCTGACCTCTGACCTGACCTTTTGACTTGATCCCTGACCTGACCTTTCCCATGACTCCAGCCACACAACCACTAATATTTGTAAAAGACTATGGCCGTATAAACGCTTATTTCATATATGGTCCATTATAATTCGTCTATGAATCTAATTAGCAAAAGGTCACATTCTAAAGCCTAACCTAACTTAAACTAACCCAACTTTACCTAATTTAACCAAACGTAACTAGAATGGTATATAATACCGACAAGATGAAATTAAGACACATGTGCAACATCTGGGTATCTTTATTGTAGACGTTTCGCCATCCAGTGGCTTTATCAATACAAAATCTAGGACATAACTTGAAGACAGTAGGAAATACAAGGGGGAAAGGAAAATCAGTCCCTAAAACTAGCAGAGGTCGAAGAACACCGAGCCCGTGGGCCTTCCCACCCTTTTTTTTGGGGGGGGACGATTCCCCAAACTTCTGTCTAGTCCACTGTCTTAAAGCTATGTCCTAATTTTGTTTGAAAAAGCCACGGGTGGCGAAACGTCTACAAAAAAGATACCCAGATTTTGCAATGCGTCTTTTTTCATAAAACGTAATACCCCTAACCTAATCTAAATTAAAAGGATGTCCTAACTTACAGCTGGGCTTCAAATATTAAAATAAGAATTACAAGAACCCTAAATGGTGATAAATCACTTTGTCTGACTTTTTTTTTTGTTTATCCTGGAAAATTACACATGTCAT